CCGGGGGAGGGGGGGGGGGTTGTTGGCGCTAAGTGCCGTCGCAACCGTTTGCTCCGGGTTGACAGCCAGAGCGTAAAGATCCTGGAATTGGGGCAAGAGAGGCCGCGATCCCACCCAATGATCGAGCCAGAAACGGACCGAGAGGCTGCGATCCCACCCAATTGTTGTAACTTATGATTATTCAACTGAAACTTATGATTTTCTCGCTCACTCTTACCAAGTTGCAGACTGTTTTTTGTCGATCGTAGGCACAAAAATCGTGATTTTATACTCGTACTAAGTTACAAGTGTTGAAACTTAATATTTATTTTCAAAGTTCATCAAAACATATTTAAAATGGATATTATTTGAAAGCCCTCATCACAAGAAACACGAGTATCAAAACAACATTTAATTCGTACTTTTCATTCAAAAGATATGAAAGTTTGAAAATCAGAAGCCAAAAACTAAACCTTGCGCGAGGGACTCGGTGCCTTGAGACTTGCGTGCCAGAAATCCTCTCCCAATGCAGAGCAACAGCATGTAGATATCAAATATCTCACATCGAGATTTCTGCGCGACACAATAACATGAAGAAGATTTGGACACATGGAACGTTGGACGCAAATTAAGTCAAGCAGTCAATTACTTGCATCCGTGTCAAAACTCTGGCCACACGCCCCGTGTGGCCGTGTTTTAATTTGCTGTGTTATTGCTGGTTTGCTGCGGTGCAAACTCCATTCAGACATGCAAGTATATGGTCAATTTGGACTATGGAGATGGAATTGTATGGCTTCGGTCTGGCATTTTGAAACGTACGACCCACGGACTGAAACGTATATATTTCTTAATTGATCGAGATGCGTGGGCATGCATTTCTCATTCGCTACCAGAGTACAGTAACAAATAAAAACAATAGCTCTTGTTCATTCAATATAAGCCCTTTTACAGTCTATAATCACTTTTTTTTTGTATCAGCATGCTACAAATATACCCTCGGCCGGCATAGATCACAAAACGAAATAAGAATCAGAATTGAACAAAAAGAAAAAAAGAAAAATTAAAAAGAATATCAATGCCCTAAATATAGGGATCTGTGCAGCTCCAGGAACTTTCTGTAACAGTAGGTCAATCCGCTTAATCCATTATGGTGCTCGTAGTCTTCTTGATGAGGTCCCATGCACTCCTCACATGTCTCTCTTCCTGAAGCGACGACCCAACGGCGAACCGGAGAACGAACTTGTCACCAACCACCGTGTGCGCAAGATAAGCCTGGCCGGTCTTGTTCAGTTTCTCCATTAGTTGACGGTTTGCCTCATCGGCATCCTCTTCTGTCATGGATCCACTTGGCTTGATCCTAAAGCATACAAGAGCAAAGTTCCTCGGTACGACCACCTCGAACTTGTTGTCGGCATGGACGAGATCTTCAAACATCTTAGCCATGGCGACGTCACTACGGATGTGCTCTTGGAGCTTTGTGGTACCATAGGTGCGCATAACCATCCAAAGTTTGAGCCCACGGAAGCGTCGACCAACGCCAACCTGCATGTCCTTAAGATCTGTGACCTCGCCAGACTCGGTAGCGTCGTTCTTGAGGTACTCCGGGTTTGTCTCCAACGAGTCACTCAGTCGGTGAGCATCGCGGACGTAGAGACAAGTGCAATCAAGACATGTGAGAAGCCATTTGTGTGGGCTCATGCTAATGGAGTCCACGTGCTCGACGCCATCGAGATGGTGGCGAAACTCTGGGCAGATACACGCGCTGCCAGCGTAAGCAGCATCAACATGGACCCACGCATTGAACATGGCGGCAACGTCAGCGATGGCCCCCACTGGGTCGACGGCGTTGGAAGAAGTGGTGCCTACCGTGGCACAAACATATGTGGGCACGAGACCGGCATCGACATCAGCTTGCAGTACCTTGAGAAGCTTGGCTGGGTCGAGCCCGTAGTTAGTTTCAGACCCGGTAGGGATGGAGCGGATGTTGGCGGGGTCGAAGCCTGCGAGGCGGCACGCCTTGAAGAATGTGGAGTGGGTCTGGTCGGCGGCATAGACAACCAAGCGTGTCATGTGGGACACGCCGACGGAGCCACTCCGACGCAAAGCTGCATCACGGGCGGCGACTAGTGTGACGAGCATTGCCTCGCTGGTCGTGCCGAGGATGACGCCACCGCCGGTGCCACGTCCAGTACTGGTGCGGTTCATGAAGGTGGTGGGTAGGCGCAGAAGCTGCGCAAGCCAGTCAAGAGCGAGAACCTCCATCTCGGTGGCCGCGGGCGAGGCCTGCCACGTGAATCCAACAGTGTTCATGGCAGAGGCGATGAGGTTGCCGGCGATGGCAGCGGCGCTGTTGGTGGAGGGAAAGAAGGCGAAGAAATTGGGGCTAGCCCAGTGTGTCATGCCGGGGACAACGGAGGTCCTGAGCTCCTTCATGGTGACATCGAATGGTGCGGAGTGGGTCGGCGGGGACGCGCTAAGCTCGTCCTGCAGGTATCCCGGCTTCACGTTGGGCAGAACCGGCATAGACTCGACGTTGGTGTAGTAGTCAGAGATGAAGTCGACGGCCTTGTGGAGGTATGCACGGACATCTTCGGGGTTGAGCGGCTCGAACACCGCCTTGTCGTCGGGGAAGGCGGAGAAGGAGATTGGGTTAGCGTCCAAGATGTCCATTTCTTTAGGATGCTTAACCCTTGATTATGATCGGAGCAAAGGAGATGTGAGGCTTGTTGGTTTAATGAAGTGCAGCTAGCTCGCTTCGCTTTGCTGCCGGAGAGCAAGAAGCAGAAGCAGAGGTGCGCTAAGTAGTGCTATAGCTTTGCTGCTTGATGTGGTGAATGGAGTTGGTCGTTGGTGCTGGGTGTGGTATATATAGCACTTCTGGATGCGGGAAGCGGCGTGGCGGTGTGGGCGTTGGACGGGCCCTGGTCGCGAGCCCTACCAAAGTGCACGCGTGGGTAGCTAGGTAGGTAGGTAGAGATCCGAGCGACAACTCGTGCATTTCAATTTGGATACGGATGGTCGTTCTCACGGACCCAGCACGAACGAGGAACAATTCTTCAAGATTTTTGTTCTTATTGTCAAGGCTTGATCTCTTGACTAACCTTGTAGGTGGTGCAAGGCAAAATTGCATATCGTACTAGTAGTAACGTGAACGTTGGCTCTCTGGCCGATGGATTCGGCGGTAGCAATACGTACAAAAATAATCCATCGTGATCAATACCGTACTACTGAAAAAATGTGGGTTTTGGCCCCACAGCCTGAGCTTGCATTTAGTAAAGAATTCAAGACGTGTGGTACGTGCAAGCCCCTGTGGTCAATGTCACATGGAACAAGCTAGAGCTAGTTGGACGTACGTGCACAATGGAAATTCCATCGCTTACGCCGAAACCTTTTTCATTGCGCGTGCGTGTGGTTGATTCCTCTCAAATCGTCGGTCATATCGGGCAAAGGTGATTTCGTGAAAACAATTGAGATTACTTTCGTGAATTACTTTGCTAGCTAGCTGAATTGAGTGTTTGATGTTGACTAATGTTTAGATTTGTGAAAGTAAGTACGTCATCCTACTTTTCTCAGTACGATATAGATTACTTCTCTTAGGAAGCGAGTAGAAATGGCCGTTTAAGTAAATTATATTGCAACAGTTATACCGGAAATATGGAGTCGAACTACTATCAAACAAGTTACTTTTTGTTAACAGAACCTCAGTATATAAAAGATAAGTTTGACATTTAACTTCAACACCAACACCCAGTATTTTGCTCCCTAACCTCTGCCAAAGTGGTCCGGTGACCTATGCAACCCAAAAAGAAGTAAGGAGATAGGTGAAAAATATTATGTCCGTGAGGAGAGAGAAGGTTAGGTGAGAGGGGTAGAAGATTACGTGTGTGAGAAGATTAGTTTCTACCGCCAGAATTAAT